TTTTTTTTTTTGAAGTTAAAATCACGTTAAAATTAGTATTGTTGAAGTTAAGAAAACAAATATTAGTATTTACGCGAGCATTTTCTTCTTGAAGTTAAAATCACTGAGTCAGACTAAAATCTAACGGCATGGAATGATCAATTGATCAGAGACAATTATCGGATCATGGTTACCTAGCTGATACGACAATATTTTATTTGATACACGAAAAGCAATTTAAGGAGAACAGTTCATTGCAATCAGCCGTGGAAAATAGAGCACAATATCGATACAAATTCACTTCTGAAAACATTCAACAGTAACAATTCTGTAGCGCTCACTTTTCACAACTTGATTTAATGTGCGAAGGTGAAACAAAAATCAACGTTCACAATGTAAACGTTTCACTTGCAATACGTCTCGTCTCATACAACTCTCTGCAAGCACTCCACTCGCACATTACAAACGTATTCGTTCCGTGCAGAATTTCTGCACAGCAAGAGAAAACATCATATGTCGACTAAAAACTACCTGCAAATTGTCCCAGTCAATTCTCGCCCAATGCTTTGCAACCGCCTCGATTGAATCTGCTGTGGTTGGTGTCGTCATCGCTGATGCGAGGCGATAAGCACGACGACACCTATAAAAAGAACCGATTTCAAATGATTTGTCAATACACGATCGAAACTTGGAATTCGACCGATAGGTTTCATGCGTAAATTAACGATGAAAAATTAAGTTCATGTTAGCGCTGAACTCAAGGTCAAACCTCCCGAATGAATCCTTCGCAACGAAATCGAGTTCACTCGAAATTATTCACACGAAAACGACTGACTAGTATTCAGAGAGCGAGACTGTGTACGACGACTAATGTAAACGTGGCAACCAAATTAGGGCATTCACTTGCTTTATGATGAATTGCCGTATAAACACGAACGAATTTTATCATATACTTAGAACGAGAAATTCTGCCATCAATACAGCACTATATCCGACAGAAATGATATTCTCCTACTGTGCTCTTGTCTACAACGCAATATACCCATCAAAATTGCTGAATTCGGAATGAGATAACATCGAGAGCATGACCGGAATCTCAACCATTTCTGCGATCTGTACACGATCAATCTCTTGCTGCTTTTATTTTATAATGAAAGACGATATCGCATCTGATTTGTTCAAAACAAAAATAAACACAAACCAAATAACAACATTATATCACAAAAATTTATTTCTAAATCACTGATGGAAACGCAATGCACAAAGTGGTTGTTCTCGCATATTTAATGCACACATTAACGATAAACAACTCGACGATAGGATATTCACGATGACTAAAGTAGAATTAAACAATCTGCTACACTCGGGATGAAGCATATGGAACGAAAATGTTTTTGTCGTTTGAGTGACATAACGGGACAAAATGAGCACCTCGACAGGTCCTTTTTTACTCACAATCAGCTGAATAGAAAATCATAAAATTCGTTTCTTCAAAAATCTGCATCCATTTATCGGTTCTCTCAGAAATTCATATTCCAAAGCAACAACTGCTTGGAATAAATTTCAAAAAACCTAAATGTTACAAAATGTAAAATAGAACCATTAAAAGTTACATCCCTCAAAAACCAATGAATTTTTACAAATGAAATACACATTCAAGTTCCATTCACTCCGATCTCGCTCAATTATTCCCGCTTAGAAAACAGAAAAAAGACTCTTCTGTCGTATGAAATAAGCAAATTAAGAGTTTACAATAACAATGAGCCTAGTTTTCGAAGAAGTTCACACGCCAGTCGTTGAAGCGACGATAATCATTACGAAGATGATAGTCCTCAGGTAATTCGGCCAACACCTTCGCTGCTTCTGCTTTATAGTCACGTATCTTCGCTTCTAAAAAAAACATTCTTTTAGATGACTGGCACCATTTTAAATAATATATTCATCACTGCCAGCTGAGTATAATCGCAAATCGAGAAGCATACTCAACTGGTTCACGATTGCCAAACTCGTATATGCTTTCATTCCATGCGATTGCAAATGCCACAGAGCACAATGT